AAATAAAAAAATGTCATGCAAGCTTTCAGCCAATCACGGGATCAAGAAATTCCTTCATCTACAGTTTATAAATGAATGAATGAATGAGCTTATTACAGATGGATGGACTCCAGCTCTGCTGTTTGTTGTTAAAATGTATGTTGTGTCAGGCAAGAGGACCATTGGGAAATGTCCTTACTTTGATGTATCTGCGGGCCAAGACTTTGTGAAGGTTCTCTGTCTTTTTTCTGTTCCACCCCATGGCCTGTTGAGTGAGCATATTCTCTCTCCCTGATTAAAATAAATAAATCTGCATGCGTGATTGGATCAATTTACATGGGAAAGACCATTGCAGTTAGACACAACCTAACACAACAATTACTTTAGTGCAAGGAGAACAGGAAAATTACATTTTAGAAGTCAGAAATACCTCATCACAGAGTATGGTTTGTAATGTGTCATACCAACCTGCCTTTGTCATGTACTTTGTGACAAGAGCTGCCCTGGAGAGAAAGCTGTTTACCTAGATAAACAATACAGAAATTAATGTATTCCTATTTTACATTACCAAAAAACAACAACAAATAAACAAAAACATACTGTATGTATATGTGAACATGTAGCCATACTTATTGTTGAACTAATATCTTATCGTCAACTAGCTCTCCACCTTAGAATGCCATGGAAACTAAAGCGACCACGCCCTTTCAGCCATAGCCATAGACAGCAAAATAGGAAAGATCGAGTCCAATTTTTCAAAGTTGGGTCTTACCAAATGGGTCTACATTTTAAAACCTCACAATGGCATGCCAGAGCTGTGACAATCGGCATTTTCATAGAATCCCATGAAATTTGATGATTTTGCACTGTCACCAGGCTGGTGTGTCAAATGGGGTCCTACTGGTAGGTTGGAAAAAGTCAACCATGGCCTACTGGTTAGGGCCTTGGGCGTGTGTCTTGTTCGAATGCCGACCAGGAGGAAAGTGGTTGAGTGGAAAGTGAAAGTGGGTGGGGAAAGTTGTTGAACATCGATGTCCTGTCCACATCCACAGCTAAGGTGCCCTTGAGCAAGGCACCAAACCCTTCACTGCTCCCCGGGTGCTGCATCAGCTGACTGCCCACTGCTCTAGTGGTTAGGAGTTAGTGTGTGTGACCTCACTGTTGCTGTGTATGTGCGTCTCTAATTCACGGATAGGTTAAATGCAGAGACTGAATTTCCCTAACAGGATCAAAAGAGTGTATATAATTAAATAGTGCAGCTCAGATGGAACATAACTTGAAATAGTGATGTATCATGCAGACACCACCACTACTCACTTTTTACTCAGAGGAGACATAATGTGTGTTGCACTTGTGACATAATGTGTACTGTGTTGTGCTCTGATTGTCATTCGAGCAAGCATAGATCTTTGTTTGATACCCTGATGTACTTTATCCTTCACACTCTGCTTGTCTCACACATAAATGTATCAGTGAAGTCTCCTATATCTACATAGTTACAATAATGTCGGTGATAACATACTTGCTCAACTTCCTCTCCAACAGTGTTCCCTGCTCCATCCTGATTCCTGCCGCCCCATCTCACCTGCAACATAGTGTTGGATTAATTTCATACCATAATTTAAAAAATCTAATGTTATGCAATCATGGATTATGTGCACATTAAAATCACTTTCACATTAAAGGTGTCATATTTTATCTGCATAATATACTACACAAGATATCATAATCACAGACTTACAATTTAGTATATTGCCACTAATACCAGATTAAAATAATAAAAAACAATCATTGCTCGGCTTTTCGCATTAGCTGCCTGCTGGCTACTGTTGCATCTGAATTTCAGTAATTTGAGGTACCTCGCATTTTGCTGTATGAGCTTTGGCATGCATCACACTGAGAAATGGCCTCATTTCCATCAGCGGTTGAAGATCTGATGATTCTTCAGTCACTTTGCTTAGGTATGGCCAGTACCTAAAAAGAAGCACAGCATTAGTAGGCATTAACAACAGTTTGCCTGGCCATCAATATAAAACGACTGAAAAAAACAGGCATGTAATGTACAGTAGGTTGACCGAGTTTCAATATGACTGAGAAAAATTACCTGCAGACAACATCCATGCAGAAGAAAGTGACATTGGCCCTCTGACAATTCCCTCTGTAAAAACATTGGGTAGGCGAAGACCTCGCCACGGTAGTGGTTCAGTCCTCGCAGCAATATCCCGTGTCTGATACACAAGAGGACAATATGGTTAATGATCAATTTACACAATGAGACCTGTGGAAAACAAAGCTAATCAAAACCCTCTATTCAAAGCCTCTCAGTCTCTCAGTCTCTCTCTCTCACACACACACACACACACACACACATTTACCCATCAATCTCTACATGTTGTAGAGATTGTTGTAGTGTTGTAGTGATGTTGTAGTGACTACATGTTGTAGTGATGCTCTACATCACTATTATGTTCCCTCTGGGCAGGCAGTGGTGCAGTGGTTCAGGGGTTCATGTAGGTTGTCTACAAACCGGAAGGTTGGTGGTTCAATCCCCGGTTCCACCTGACCAAGTGTCGAGGTGTCCATGAGCAAGACACCTAACCCAAGCTGCTCCCGACGAGCTGGATGGTGCCTTGTATGGCTGACACCGCCGTCGGCAAGGGCGTAGGTTTAGGGGGGGACGCTAGGTACTAGTCCCAATCAATATTTTGAGATGACAAATTTGTCCCCACCAATATTTAGCAAGCTCCTTTGAACTGCTATTTTGATATTTGCGCTGCTATTTGGATCGATTCCAACGGCCAGGACGACGACAGTACAAGATACGCCGTAATTTGATTGGCGGCGGGGTATCTGACAGGCAGGCTACACGCGCGGGCCGGGACTACTTTTTGTGCTTGCACTCACTGGCAGCGAGCGGGTGGTGTGTGCGTGTGTTTGTGTGTGTGTGCGCGCGTGACGACGCCGACGGTAAGTTACCAGGGCTGTCTGTCTCTCTGCATGCCATATACAAAGGCCAGGGTAAAACATTTTAATATTCCGTTTTTTGCCCCTTTTTGTACTTTGTAGATCAGCTATGTCACCCAAGAAGAAGAAAGGGGACATACGAAGCTTTTTCATAAAGCAGAGTGTAAGTAGGCAAAAATAACTAGCCACACAAATAAATAACTAGCAGTAGTAGTGAGTGACTGACCATGCTTTCAAATGCAGATTCTACTGTGGAAAATAGTATTAACTGGTGATCCTGGTTACCCAGGATATTGTTACAGTTAAACCTAGCTTCTGCAATCTTTCAAGGTTAGGAGCATTAATTAGGGGTGTGCAGCACGGATAGACTCATAGAAGTCGCGCTATCATGATAGACGTTAGCAAGTCACTGAATGTTAATTAGCCTACCTTAACTTAGAATCTTGCAGTCATAAACAGTGGATCATCTCAGACATTTTTCGTTTCTACATTCTGTTTATGTAATGTATTTGTGAGTGTAGCCTACTTGCTAGACACATGTCTGGAAAAACATGTTGGCAATGTTAAAAAGGCAAAAGCAAACACTGTTGGTTATTCAAATATAATGGATCATTATTTGTTTGATAATATCCAAATAACAATATCTGGTAGGAGGGTTAAACTTGCTTTTTTTTAAGGATAGAATATATCAATAGAACTTGATATAGAATAGAAGATACATAATAATTTATGTTAAATAAAATGTTTGGTTGTTCAGCCTTACAGTCTCAGGTTTTTATTTTTTGAGAGTGCATTTTTGAGATTATACAGTTATACTAGCTCTTTATTGACAGTATACAGGATGGTGTATCGGGGGTCAGGATACAATATAATGAGATGAGATGAGATGAGATGAGATGGGGGGGGGGGGGGGGGGGGGTATGAATGGGTGAATGTGAGGCAAAATGTAAAGCGCTTTGGTGGCCATTGGGTCTGTGAAAGCGCTATATAAATGCAGTCCATTTACCATTTAACATATCTGACTAACTGAGCTTTAAAACAATCCTCTAGGGAAAAAAATCTGTTAAGGGGATTTACTTTACTTCCCATAAGGAAATTAAACATGACTCTGATACATTTATCCACAAATGAGTTTCTACAGCGTGTTTCAAATGGCATCTGTACAATTGCACACTTCTGATCTACCCACATACCTGCAGACTGCCACTTGTATCTCCTCTTCATCTATTTTGGACGATGATTTTTTTGACGTCTCCTTACTCGCCCTGAACCTTGAAATGCCACATGTTCCACTGTTATCTGCCTGTAAGGTCAGATATCACTCGTCTTAACAAATAGAAAACACAAAAGACACTCAAACATAAGCAGTAGATATACTGTCTTAATATGCAATATTAGACATACTCTTGTCATGCTGCTGCCTCTGACATTGTTGAGAAAGGCTGATACCTCCTCATCTTTGGCAAGAAATAACCCCTTGTACAGAGAGGGTTCCTCATTCCTGTCCATTAAAATTGATCACAAAAAAAAGTCCTCTTTTAACTGACCAAACATGACTCTACATGCAACTATTTCTATGACAATGCTGTGGAGATTAATGCCTGTGTAATATGAACATACCCCCTTGATTTTTTGAAGCGATAATGTTTGCGATTGCCATCGCAACACACTGCCAACATGTCTGGGTGACATGCTGGACAATAAAAGTAATTTACTTCACACATCACCTCTTCTGTATGCTTGCAAAAACAATATTCGAAAAAGCTTTTCTGGAACGTATCGGCACAGACATTCCCCGGCTATGACATAAAAAAAAAATTGTGTTTACAGAAAAGAAATATTACAATATTACAGTAATATGATTGTGTGTAACAATGATTCAAGCCGATTTACCCTTCCAGCCTGAACAGAACCGTGCTCCAGTAGCTTTAAAAAGGCATGCCTTGACATCGAAGGAGCCGATACTTTGATGTGAGCAAACGCTTCAAAGACATTAAAACTATATATTGTCTGGCAGTTTGTTGTGCTTGGCCAGTAACGGTACCTGAGGAGCTCTTTCACCCCTGGGGTCCATTCCACAAGGCAGGTAGGACAAACTTTACGGGGCAAACAGACATCATATCGTCCTGTGAAAAAAGAGACACATTAAACATGTGTTTCACAGAATCAACTTTTTCCAACTCAACTGTCCCTTATTAATTCACCGTAGTATTTGATATGGCATTAACATTTGGCAATTGGTATATTTCTCAAGAGAAAAGCTTTGCCTTGATTGCAATTGTTAACTTCTGCGGTACAACGAAACAAAAAGCAGGATTTTCCAAACTTACCATTCATGGTGACCACAGAAATATGCTTGCCAGAGGTGACCTCAATCTCATGGGTGCACTCACATAGTGTCCTATGTGCGGGCAATGGCAACTGACATACTGCAATGCAAAGAGGTTGTTACATTTTTCCTCAATCGAGAAGGTATATCACTTGTCATATCAGTGATTCAAAACCAACATCTACAAAATAGACAACTCTACCATGTCATTATCACGGTTTGCTTACTAATAGCACGTTTCATAGTCAAAGCCAAACAAAAACAATTTCTTCAATCAAAGAGTGATTCAAATTAAGAGTTTTTAAACCTTTTCCATTGACAAAGTATATCAACAAAGAATATTTGTGTAATTAGTAATTACCCTTTACTAGTCAACATAAATTGTTAATAAATAACATAACATACCCTGCTCACAAAAGTGAGGTTGGCCGTTTTCACCCATCACCACAGCCTTTGTGGGGGGAATAGGCTCCAGCAGGGCCGGCGATTGCTATAGGCGAACTAGGCGGTTGCCTAGGGCGACAAATGTGTTGGGGGCGCGGGCGCCCTCTAGTGTCGCCCTTGGCCTACTTCCCATTAATCATAGAATTAGAATGACAAGCGAAACAAAAACATGTTTATTAAACATGATCATCCTAAGGCGCCCCTCAGCCATACGTTTAATTACTTGTCAACCTGATTATTAGATTGAATGGATGATTATTGTCGATCATTTCCTAAAGGGGGTGCGGGGGTTAGTTGCGTTACGTTAGTTCTATGGTTACGTTAGGCAAGTGCTCGGCTGCTGCGCGCGCTGATCGAAAATGAAGCGGTCTAAACCCTCTGGTGCACAGGGACGAAACGGAGAAAGCAACAAGATAAAAAGAAAGCCCAGTATAGAGGTACGTCTTCTCATCTCATCCATTAAGGTGTCAAATGTTCTGGCCATCGGGACAACCGGGAGATTCCCGCGGGCCCGACGTGCTTTTTGGGCCGATACATACATCTCATACTTTTATTTTTCTATTTTTGTCTTAACGCCCCATAAAACTCGTACATCGGTGGCCCATTCGTTTTGTTTTGTTTTGCTTAATTGGCGGCGCCGGGTTACTTCCTAATATATAACTTACTTTCAAGTATAGAAATTTGTACAATACTCATGAAAGTTTCCTTTATTTTTCAGTGCATTTGTTTTACAATATAGCCTATGGCAATTACTGTCATGGGATTAATATTATATCTATTATTATGTAGTAGTGTAATGTAGACAGACACTGTAATTAAAAGAGGTTTGAATTTTTCTTTGTTCAATTTGCACACTGAATATGGTTTGGAGCTTTTAGTTTTGAACTCTCAAAGTGCACCAGATTGATGAATTTAACATTAAAATGCACAAAATTTTCTTACGGGGAAATACCCCCTAAACCCCCTTAACCTTGTAGCAGACTAATAGATTGTAATAATAGTTGGCCTAGTGGTGGTAGTAGTTGTAATTTATCTACTAAAAGTTATTTATGGTCAGATAAAATATAGTTGTACAATGCAACTATGATATAAATATCCTTGAACGTTCTTTGTAGCATTTGTATGAACGATTTATTGTTTAAGTGTTTGAGTAACTATAAGAGCATGTTTAGTTTAATACTCAATATCGCCTAGGGCAACCAAAGGGTTAGAGCCGGCCCTGGGCTCCAGGTAGCCATGGAAAAGTGCCTCCCTGCCATGGAACACATTCTTTTTGTGAGCCTCCATGTCGCATCCTCCACATAGATACTCCATGTCCAGTGGCACACAATCCAGGCACCTAATTACTGCCTCTACGGCACCGCACCCGTGACATTTTTGGTAGAAGTCTCTTTCAGCGGACAGTTTAGCATCGAGCAGCACTGGCCTTGCTGCTTTTGCCCTTGTATCAGCGTGTAGCTGCCGCTGTGCCCATGCTGTTTTTTCAGCTGCCACATTAACCTCAACTGAGTCAAGAGTGTCCCTCAGCTGTTGAAGACACGTTTCTGAAAATAAATGAAAATAAATAAATAACTGTTAAACAACCCTTCGATTGAGTGAAGGCACAATAGATAAAAAATTACTTAATACTGAATGGTACGACAATAATTATGACTTAAAATCTGACTTTGACCAAGCCATACACGACAGTGTCCATTCAATGTTGGTTTAATGTACTGTATATGGACTTGATCATGGTATCACGAACCATTGTATCACAATGGTCTCACAAACCGTGTAATATGCTTCCGATAATAGACCACTTTGAAATGAAGAGTTGGAGTGTCTATCACTTCCCAAAATAGGCAAGAATTTCTAAAAGCAAGCTATGCAAAAGCAATGAGTGCAGAATTGTAAAAAATTAGAATATAATGCACATGTTCTGTCTACAACAACAAAATACAAACACTTAATGTAGTTGCGTGGAGAAAAAGTGTGAGACATCAACAACAATGAATCGAGGAAAAGTTTACAGGGTCATTAGAAAAGTTGTTGATATGGAGGAATAGGAAATGTAGTAGGGATTATACAGACATACTCACCAAGACTTGCAGTCATCTCTTCTTCGATCTGAGGGACTTCCTCAGACACTGTGATCACTTGAACTTCAGAAGCTGGAAAGGCCAATACAATAGGTTATCTATTCTATCAGGGTCTTACTGTAAAGCATCATATATTTTAGTCCAGAAAATTCACAATATTACATCATACATCTGGCTCAGTGAGCTCAAACCATCTTTTCACTCACCAACATTTAGATAATTATCATTATTAAACTATAACAGTGCTATAAACAACGAACCTAATGCACGACGTTCTGCTTTTTGACGTTTCTTACGTCTGTTACTTGTGGCCGCTGCGCTTGTGACTGCTTTCCCTCTCTTAGTCCTCTTTCTTTTTTGAGGGACATGGCTTCCCATTGCCATTGCAGCCTATATGAAAATAAAATATGAATGTTTTCTGATAGAATATCAGACTTATGGTTATGTTTGATGGACGCTTTTTTAGTAAGTAACAATAAAAAACACAAATCAAAAACTACAAGATATAAAATACTACACTACTCCAATGTCCATTAAATGTCTAGAACATCATACCTCAACAGCAACAACAACAAACAAACAATATGTAAATAGTGATTTTCATAGACATGGGTGTAAGTTTATCAAAATTTCTCACCCTGGCCTCACGGAGAAGAGCCTTGCTAATTTTAGCAGCCATATGGCCCCTGGCCTCATTGGGATCTTCAAAGACTCCTGGGTGGTTTTCCGACATGGTGCACGCACGCACAGATACAATACAAAAATACAGACAATAGACACACAATACAGATATGAAGATGAGTGTGTGTGTGTGTGTGTGTGTGTGTGTGTGTGTGTGTGTGTGTGTGAGAGAGAGAGAGAGGAGGGGGTGGAGAGAGAGAGAGTGAGAGAGAGAGAGAGAGAGACAGAAAGTGTGAGAGACTTAAGAGAGAAACAGAGTGAGAGAGAGAGAGAGAGATTGAAAGAGTGGCTCTTAAAAGTGCCTTTGTTTTCTAAACGATATAGAGATAGAGAAATGGAGATAAGATTTAAAACAGCAAATAATCTGTAGAACAGACAAGAAAGCATAATTAGATATATCTCTGAGAAAAAAATATAATGTCTACATTAATGCGAGACACTACAGGTGAATAGGGTAAACTTTTAAAATAATAGATATCACCATGAAACTTCCTCATTTGATTAATTACACAAGTATATAAAAACTATGTATTATAAGTTTTTGAAATGTGTATGTTTAATTATGCAAAGTATGCATTATCTCATTAAATATGCGCAATTTTGCATATATATTTTCGATAACATAAACCTGAACATATGCATATGATAAAGCCAGGTGCAAAATTATTTTTATTTTTATTATATGCTTTCATTACTTAGGAAATAATACTGGAGAAAGAAATCGATTTCCTCTATATTTTTTGGTGTACATGATGGTGCTACATAGGATGAGATTTTGGTAACGTTAACGTTACTGGAGATTGACAACAACAAAAAAACAAATTTTGAGAAAACGTCTTTTAAAAATATTTGTAATGTAAAAATGCATACTTTATTAAAGAAAAACAACTACAGACACGATATCATGTCAACTATTTAGCAATCAACAATACAAGCCATCTAAAACGCATTAAAACTTATAATTCAACATTTATTGATAGTAAATAAGTAGCAGGTCTGAGATACATACCGGATTTGTAGAGGGGATCCTCGCAATGACGGAAAAACCGCGAAAGTGGGGTCGCCGTCATGGCAACGGACTCGTCCGATTTTACATTAATTTATTATTAGTCTTTATAATTTTTTTTCCGTTGTCTGTATATGCCTATCTGTCAATTGAGTAAACATAATTTTTTTTTTGTAAATTAGTCCAAATATTATTTACATTAATGTGGTGTATTGGCATAATGCTTATTTATGCAGGATGTGTATTCAATGGCTCTCATGCTTGGGAGCGGGTATTTAAGTCACGTGATGTGAGTTGCACGTGTGGGGAATGTGATGTAATCAACCTGTGATCTGAACACCAGTAAAGTATGTTTGGTAGCATTTGGTGGTTTTGTCTCATGAATACATAACATAAGTTGGCGACGAGGATAAAACTGAGAGGACATGGCGCAAATCGGAAGACTGGATGAGTATAAACCAGAAGACGAGTCCTGGTCCGCGTATATGGAACGCGCAGAATTGTTTATGGTTGCAAATGACGTGGATGATACGAAGCAAGTAGCGACTTTGCTTAGTGCTGTGGGAGCGTCCACATATGGATTACTGCGGAATTTGGTTCAGCCTGAAAAGCCAAAGGATAAAACGTTGGAAGAAATTGTGAATATTCTTAAGGATCATTTTGAACCAAAGCCATTGATAATAGCTGAACGTTTCCGATTTCAGCGTTGTGTTCAAAAGCCCCATGAAACTGTGTCCCAGTATGTTGCTGAACTGAAACAATGTGCATCTAAATGTGACTTCGGTGCAAGTTTGGATGAGTCTCTACGTGATCGCTTTGTTAGCGGAATCCAAAGTGAAGCATGTCAACGAAGATTGCTTTCGGAGGACACACTCACTTTCGCACGAGCACTTGAAATTGCGCAGAGCATGGAAACTGCACATCGTGATACCCAGCAACTGAGGAAAACAGAGGATTCAGCGGCAGCAGTGCATAAGGTAAATACAAAGACTGTATAATCAGAGACAAGTATGCTATCGTTGTAAAGGGAAAAACCATAATGCTCAGGAATGTTATTTTAAAAATTCGAAGTGTCACAATTGTGGGAAGATTGGACATATAAAGAGAGCTTGTAAAGTTAAAGAGAAAGTACATCTCAACAGTAAAGCTACTGAAAAACAAAACAAGCACAAAGTAACTGCTTATATGTATGCTGAAGAGCCAGAGCTAGAAATGTTTTCCATGTTAAGTGAAACTGAGAAACAGCCTTTCCGAGTGAATTTTACTGTGAATCAGCAAGATTTGTTGATGGACATTGATACAGGAGCAGCTGTAAGCATAATTTCGCAACAAGTGTATAAACAATCGTTTGCCCATTTGCCACTGGAGGGAGCTAAAGTAAAGTTAAAGACCTACACTGGTGAATGCATTCCAGTATTGGGTCAATTCACAACTACTGTACAATATGAGGATCAAGTGAATGAGTTACCACTAATTGTAGTGGAAGGGAATGGTCCAAACCTGTGTGGTAGGAACTGGCTCCAGAAAGTAAAATTGAATTGGAAAATAATTCGATATGTGAGTCAAGCTAAGCAGCCTGGGTCTATCAAAGACGTGCTGGATAAGTATCGTGAAGTCTTTAAGGATGAGCTGGGCACTCTAAAGGACATTAAAGCTACTATTTCAGTGAAACCAGATGTTCCACCCAAGTTTTTTAAAAATCGTCCTCTTCCCTTTGCTATGAAGGAACGGGTGGAGAAGGAAATTGATAGGCTGGAGAAAGCCCATGTGATATCTCCAGTAAAGTATAGTGAGTGGGCGGCTCCAGTTGTGCCTGTTATTAAAAAAGATTCCACAATCCGCTTATGCGGCGACTACAAAGTCACTGTCAATCAAGCGTCCAATACTGAAGTGTATCCCCTGCCACGGATTGAGGACGTTTTGGCCACTTTGAGTGGAGGAAAGTTGTTTTCCAAGATTGACTTGGCACAAGCATATCAACAGGTTTTACTGGATGATGATTCCAAGAAGTATACGACAATCAACACCCACAAGGGATTGTACGTGTATAATCGTCTAGCTTTTGGCATCAGTTCAGCCCCTTCCATTTTTCAACGTATAATGGAAACTTTGATGAAAGATCTGAAAGTGATTGTGTATCTGGATGATTTGTTGATTACAGGTCATGATGAACAAGAACATCTAACAAACCTTTGTAAAGTCCTACAGCGTCTTCAAGACTCAGGCTTAAGAGTGAAGGAATGTAAGTGTGAGTGGGGACAAACACGAATTGAATACCTGGGTTATGTGATTGATGAAAAAGGGGTGTATCCAACGAAAGACAAGGTAAAAGCCATTCAAGATGCACCAGCACCTTCAAACGTAAAGGAACTGCGAGCTTTTTTAGGCTTGGTAAATTATTATGGACGTTTTGGACCAAATCAGAGCACAGTGTTGGCACCACTGTATAGACTGTTGAAAGAACAAACTACTTGGTGTTGGGGGAAAAAGGAACAAGATGCTTTCAAAAAGTGTAAAGAATTGCTCACAAGTGACAAAGTGTTGGTACATTATGATCCACAACTGCCTTTGACTTTAGCATGTGATGCTTCGGCTTATGGAATTGGTGCAGTGCTTCAGCACATTATGCCGAATGGTGAAGAACATCCCATTGCATATGCTTCACGGACGTTGTCCCCTGCTGAAAAGAAATATTCACAGATTGAGAAGGAAGCGTTGAGTGTGATCTATGGAGTAAAAAAATTCCATCAATATCTTTGGGGAAGATCTTTTAATTTGATAACGGATCATAGACCATTAGTGACTCTGTTTGGAGAACATAAACACTTCCCAATGATGGCTGCCGCTCGTATTCAGCGGTGGGCTATAATTTTGTCGGCATATGATTATCATATCATGTATCGTAAGGCAGAATGTCATGGAAATGCAGATGGCCTGTCACGAATTCCACTACCTGAAATTACGGATGCGGGAACCGAAGCCATTTCAGAAAATATCAACACTCTTTTGACAAATCATCTTCAAGAAGCTCCTCTAAATGCTGCACAGATTGCCAGAATGACAAGAACAGATCAAGAACTTTCTAAAGTTTTTCGTTATGTCATGGAGGGGTGGCCAATTGAAGTGTCTGATGATTTGAAAATATTCTATGTGAAAAGAGATGAACTGTCAGTGGAACAGGGATGTCTGTTATGGGGCATACGAGTGATTGTACCCTTCAAGTTTCGAAAATCAGTGTTACATGAAATTCATTCAGGACATCCTGGCATTGTTAAAATGAAAGCGCTGACTCGTAAATTTGTGTGGTGGCCAAAAATTGATGCAGACAGAAAGAATTTGCAAGGAATGTCAAATCTGTCAACAGGAACAAAGGATGCCAAGTCACGTCCCTCTTCATCCATGGGAATTCCCGGGTGAGTGTTGGAGAAGGTTGCATGTGGATTTTGCGGGTCCTTTCCTGAACAACATGTTCATGATCGTTGTTGATGCTCATTCTAAGTGGTTAGAAGTTTTTCGTATGTCACAGATCACTTCTCAAGCTACAATTACCAGACTGAAGAGATTGTTTTCTGCATATGGATTACCTGAACAAATAGTGACTGATAATGCAACAACTTTTACTTCTGATGAATTCCAAAGATTTGTGAAACAGAATGGTATTCTGCATACCAGGAGTGCACCTAAGCACCCAGCCACAAATGGATTGGCAGAAAGATATGTCCAGACATTTAAGAGAGGTATGAAGAAATTGACTAATGAACAAATGTGCATTGATGATAGACTGTCTTTATTTTTGTTACGATATCGCACAACTCCTAATTGTACCACAGGTCAGTCACCATCTGATTTATTTTTAAAGAGACACATTCGCACCAGGTTGGATTTCCTGAAACCGAACATTCATGAAATGGTTCGTAGAAAACAGTATTTGCAGAAAAATCAACATGACTATCGCGCAAGAGAGAGATCCTTTGCTGTGGATGATTCTGTGTTCCTGCGAAGTACAGTGGAGGGAGGTCCGAAGTGGTTATCTGGAGTGATTACACAGCAGACAGGACCTGTTTCGTACAAGGTACGTGATCCAATATCGGATACTGTGTACAGACGGCATGGTGATCAACTGAGACCACATACTTCATCCTCAGAGATTCCAATGCCACAGGAGGAAAAGGAGACTGCTCAATGTGTTGAACCACATGATCTACCTCAATATGCGGAACTCAATGGTCAAGATTCAGGATTTGCTGGAACTCCAGTAGGTACATTTGACCCTGAGGTACCTTTTGAACAATCATTGAACAACCCAAGTCCAGTGGGTCTGCGTCGTTCTAAACGGACTATTACATTACCACAACGTTTTAGAAATTGAGAATTTGAACTAATGTGGTGTGTTTAGTTTTAATGGGGGAGGTAATGTGGTGTATTGGCATAATGCTTATATATGCAGGATGTGTATTCATTGGCTCTCATGCTTGGGAGCGGGTATTTAAGTCACGTGATGTGAGTTGCACGTGTGGGGAATGTGATGTAATCAACCTGTGATCTGAACACCAGTAAAGTATGTTTGGTAGCATTTGGTGGTTTTGTCTCATGAATACATAACAACTAAGATGATGGATGGGGAGTTTGATTGATCAAGCCTGCCTCTAGTTATCCGGTTATCCGTGTGTCCCGTCACGGAAGAATCCGTGGTGCCATCACAGAATTTGTCAATAAGCAAAAGGCTATAGAAACTGGTCAGGGGAGATAAGAGGTTCACAGATTAATTAGGCTACATGCATCACACACACAGACAACTTGAATAGCCTACTTAAAGTGTCAAAATCAGCAATAGGCACCAGTGAAGGTGAAAACAATCTGTGGCGACCACTGAATATTCCGTGGTACGATCACGGAAGAATTCCGTGGTCCCGTCACGGAAGAATCCGTGGTGTCATCACAGAATTTGACAATAAGGAAAACTGATACTACACAAACTGATCAGGGGAGATAATATGTTCACAGTTTAATGAGGCTATTTCATCACAAACACAACTTGAATAGCCAACTTAAAGTGTCAAAATCACCAATAGGCACCAGTGAAGGTGAAAACAATCTGTGGCGACCACTAAATATTCTGTGGTACGGTCACGGAAGAATTCCGTGGTCCCGTCACGGAAGAATCCGTGGTGTCATCACAGAATTTGACAATAAGGAAAACTGTTACTACACAAACTGATCAGGGGAGATAATATGTTCACAGTTTAATGAGGCTACATTTCATCACAAACACAACTTGAATAGCCTACTTAAAGTGTCAAAATCAGCAATAGGCACCAGGTGAAAACAATCTGTGGCGACCACTGAATATTCCGTGGTACGGTCACGGAATTCAGGGTGACCAGACGTTATCCTAGCGATCAAACGACGACAGAACAATGCAATATCAAGTTAAAATCACTTTAAAACAAAATATTTAAAGTAAAGTACTTTAAAGTACACATTTCAAGCTTTCTATATATTTCTCAGATCTTTGAGGCAAGTAGCTTGCGCTAAGTTTCGCTTCATTTATGAGACGAGCTCAGTCCACGCGCCGGCACGGAGCTCCTGAGAAGTCCTGATTATATTGCCTGCTATATTTACTGCTTATTTATTAAAGACAATTGGTTGATGAAACATTGATTAAAATTAAGATACAATTAATACAAAACGAAATTCACTTTAAAGAAAGGCTTTCTACAAAAACAAACTTAATGAAGTGGTCAAAATCATGTCTGCCCACTCCATTTGTCTCCCGATTGCGCATCTTATGCTCTTACTCATGCTTTTCACTTTTCATATAATCAACATTGATGAAATTAAAAAATAAATTATTTTATTTAAACATAAATATGAAACTAAATCGTTTTCTTTAATGACTAGGCTACAACACGCAGGTCTATAGGCCTACAGAGAAATTTAATATCGGAGCGGGATTTGAGTGAACGCCGTCTTACTGTAAGCATGTGGGGGTAGAGGTACGATTTTCGAGCAATCATCGAATATTATTTTGCTTGATATGCCAATCCTTAATATTTGGTGTTTTAAATGCCTGTTTGAGGTCTCTGTGAAAGATTTAAAGCAGTCTTTTAGAAATGTATCAGTAAATGTCATGGTTAACCAAAAGTGTAGTGTAGATCAGTAGATGAAACGGGTGGGGAGAAGAGGTAAGTGCGACGAGCGAGGCAACCACCAGCCGCACCGACCGACGGCCCGAAGAGGAAAGACCCGCCAGCTCCCGGAAAGCCTCTTTTAACCAGTCATCCATCACTACATTCACGCCAGCCTACAGCTCCACCTGTAGGACTAAGACAGACAAACAAATAGCAACCATAAAACACAGACAAACACAAGCTGCCCAATAACACGGCAAAGCCGGTCATGACACCTAGGAAGAAAACTACAGGGGACAATGGACAAGCTGCTGCATGGGAAAAATCTTTTCCCAACTGCACCATCTTACGATGTCACAGAACATCTGTCCAAGTTGCAAGCTAGAGCCAAAGAATGCACCACGAAAGCATCATTAAGACAGCTCCGTAGCTACAACAAAACCCGAAGAGATGTCACCTATAAAGAAAAAGATCGTGTATGGGTGAAACATTTTCCACAGTCAAGTGCACTTCACCATTTTTGTGCTAAACTTGCCAACAAATGGAAGGGTCCCTACAGAATAATACAACAGCTGGGACCACTGAATTATAGTGTGGCATTAGAAGACACTGGTGAGGATGTTTCCTACCGCTGAGGAGTTAAACCACCTGGGAAAATCGAAACTTTTGGAAATCTTCCACGAATCCACTGACGAAGATGAGGAGTTTCTTGGTTTCCAACCTAGGGTTGTTTTTTCTTTTTCTTTTTTATATATAAAATGTTTTATTTCATTGCATTATATTTATTAGTACAGTCACTAGTATTCTAGTTGTTAATCTGACATATTTGCGCTATAGTTGCTAACACAAACATGTCTGAAATCCACAGACCAGTCAAAGATAAATACTGGCAGGAGTTGCCAAACAGCAGTGATGGCACAGAAAGCAGTTTGACTTGTTAGGTTATCGACACATAGTTTGTATATATTATATATTGCGTATTTTCCAAGCAAAATTGTCCATAGTTTGTGATTGATATCCAGCCTATATCACTAGATGATGAGTCTTGGTGACATCTGAGCTCAGTTCTCCAGCAAGGCAACTCTCTGTCCCTTTCCCTTTCCACTCACGCTCTTCGCCCTCTTCATTTGGTAGACCACATTGGCCGCCTCGTCCAAGATGCTTGCAGTGGAAGATTTTCAGTTTCTGTTTTGTTCTGTTTGACAGTGGTGAGGTCTTCACCGATCATACTCATGATAGATGCTCTCTTCTTTAGGGCTTGGCTTCTGTTGACCGATGTCTTTGAGAAGGTCCTGCTGAGCTCGGAGTTGTCTCTGTGCTTCCTGTACTCGGCCCTCCATAGTCAGCCTGGCACACAGTTGGGCGCAGTGAACGCCCAACACTGACATATTTAAACTGCCCGCCCACACCCAACTGCTGGTGGTGACCCGTTTCTGTTGAGTGACGACTCTCATCACTTTCTGCAATTCCCGAGTCCTGAAACTCAGCTGCAGCTGAAAAGGGACCCGGTCCTGTTGCTGGAAACTTTCAACTTTTTCCGGTCTGACTGCAAACTGAAAGGTGATCTCAACACAGTCTGTCACGTTGCCAATCTCTCTCACTAACCGATGATTATCCTCCTCATAGGGGAAGTACATGCCATCCGGTGCCAGAAGTGTTGCCATGACGTTAGCTGCTAGGACATTGTCAGCTACAGCGCTCTGAATCTCTGTGGCGACTGTACCATTATTTACAATATTTATTCTGCCTCCTGTGTGGTCAACCAGCCTCCCAACCTCTGCCAAACGACAGTCCTCTCCTTCAAAGGTCATCACGGACACGATCACACCCTTTTCAGCAGCATAATGGGCTAACTGGTTGCAGAAATAAGGAGAGGGGGCTCTTGAGGAAGACTCTTGTTCTAAGTGGCCTAGTCCTATGTTGGCCTGCCCGTCTGTGCAGATTATAACCTTTGATCCTGTGAACAGGGATGCCATTGCAACAGAGATGAGGGCAGCAGGTCCCAGTGCTGTGGCTCCATGTTCTCTGAGTTCTTTGATTTTCTGGGTGAGAGGCTGGATAGTCTCTGCAATGCAGTGAGGCGTGCTGTAGGTCTCTCCCTCCTTCTTCAGATAGTCATAGTCCACCAGCGCCCAGTCTCTCAGGGTGAGAGGAACCCCTGTACCGTCACCATAAAAGTCTCATTGTTAAAAGTCACCAGTGCCAGTCTTCTGTGAGGTGAGGTTTTCTGCAGGGTGGACAGCACCATCTGAAGAGCTTCTTGGACTCCCTGCAGTCGTGAAATATATGTGGGTGATCGCATGCTGTTACCTGGAGAGATCTCAGAAGTAACACTCATACTTCCGGAAGTGTCTACACACAGCACAATTAGCATGTCGTCTAGGTTCTCATACTCCATGTCCCTGTTGTCGTCCATGTAAAGTATATCCCTGCCTGGAGGAGAGCGCAAGGGAAACCGCCCCGCCGTTAGTGGCGCCAGCGAATAAACGTTCTCCTTCCCGCAAAACTCACAGCTCCATATTATTGTTGTTTGGTGTGTCTCTGGACTGCTTGCAGAGGACATGACGGCATTGCATTTCCCACAATGCACTGGTTTCTGGCTGCTCTGTATAGCAGATGCTTTAGTAATGTCCACAAGGCTTCCTACTTTTTGCGACACTACGTTTACATTAGCTTTAAGTTGAGGTCTCTCCATTATTCTCCAGACGTCTTGGTGGTACCGGTGGTGGAAGAGAGCTAGTCAAACTCTTTCTCTGATGTATGTTACAGCTCTCCCCAACGTCATCTTCAGAGCGGAGCACTCAAACCCACGAGCTGTGTCAACGATCGCCTGGATCTTCCCTATCGAAGCTTTTCCGTTTATAACAAACAGAAGTTCACCATTGCTGAAGGTTGTGGTTTTGCTGGATACAAGGCTGGTCTTTCCACAAAACACTCACACAATTCACCTCTGCACTTTCCACACACGCCCTTTATCGCAGTTCCTCTTAAAATAAGCAGTGGGTGACATTTCTTCTTTTATTTTTATTTACTCAGTTTTCCTTTGTTGTTTCCATTCTCCCTTGAAAAAAAAATAAGAAGAAGAGTTTTTTCCCCCCCCTCTAACAAAAAAACAAACCAATCTGATCTTGTTAGAAGTATGAACTCTTGAATCTGTGGTCTTTGTAAATTTAGTGAACTTTGTAAATTCATGTAGCATTATCCGTACTTAAAATATTAAGTACGGTATTATTGTTGAGGTTTTTTTGTTTGTTCGTTGAGAACCAAGAGTTTGACAAATTTAAAGTGGTTGTTTTTTGTTTGTCTTTTCGGTCCCACTTTATATTAAGTGGCCCTAATACCTGTGAACTTACATGGTACCTAGATATGTACTTAGTATGTAACTACAGTGTAAATACACATTGGTACATAGTATTTACAACTGTAATATTTGTGTAACTACACATATGTAACAACCCACGGAAAGGTATGTGTAAGTACAAATGTGTAACAGGACATTGGTAACAACACTTTTTCCACTAAAGTAAGTACACATGTGTAACAGGCATTATGTAACTACATTTTGTAACAACAATATGTATTCACACAAGTTGTTCCACTTCCACAAGCAGTCTTCCATACTGTAGTTACCAGTTAAGAACACACTGAAACCATGATGATTCCTATGTGTATACCATGTATTTACTATATGACCGGCAGGACTTATGTTGAATTACAGCTAAAGTTTTCCCTTGTGGTACCAGTGTACATACATGGTCACTCCTCAGGCAACATCTTGATACAATGTGTTAAACTGTCATAACTTACTGTGTATTATGCAAAACCCAAACCTCTGTGCAACTGTACTAACAGTGTACTAACATGGTAACTCCTCAAGAACTGTCCACTTAATATAAAGTGTAAAATGGTCATAACTTACTGTGTATTATGCAAAACCCAAACCTCTGTGCAACTGTACTAACAGTGTACTTACATGGTAACTCCTCAGGAACTGTCCACTTAATATAAAGTGTAAAATGGTCATAACTTACTGTGTATTATGCAAAACCCAAACCTCTGTGCAACTGTACTAACAGTGTACTAACATGGTAACTCCTCAGGAACTGTCCACTTAATATAAAGTGTAAAATGGTCATTACTTACTGTGTATTATGCAAAACCCAAACCTCTGTGCAACTGTACTAACAGTGTACTAACATGGTAACTCCTCAGGAACTGTCCACTTAATATAAAGTGTAAAACGGTCATAACTTACTGTGTTTTATGCAAAACCCAAACCTCTGTGCAACACTGTATTAACAGTGTATTTACATGGTAACTCCTCAGGAACTGTCCACTTAATTTAAAGTGTAAAACTGTCATAACAGAGACCATCTCAGCAAACCCAAACCTCTCATAGTTTTAATAGCATTAAACTATATTTTGAGCCACTAATCCTACTCATACCCCTAAACCTACCCATAACCATTCCTTAAAACTACGTAGGCTAACGTTACACTTATGAAGAAAATAAAAACATAACAGACAGACAAGTAACGTTATAAATTTCACAATAATTTGTTTATTGCGAAAATGTAAACAAACCGGTACCAAAAGTCGTTCACATGATGATGCGTTGCAGCCGCAGTCCTCTCTGGCAGTATTATAATAGTTGTGTATGAGGTACAGATCAGAGTATAAATTATTAATCCATGAAAATGTTAATCCGGTTTTGGTTCGCTCTGTGAAGGCAATGGTGAAGGCGCGCGCGCTTCTCCATTTCAAATGTACTACTACACCGACTGAAACACGGCATGTCGCAATCTGTGACGAAGCAGGCGAGAGCCAATGAGCGTTTGACATCACAGCCGTAAAACATGTCGTAACGCTTCTTGAAGGCGCATTTTTTTTATTTGAATTCATCACCAGCGCGCCTGAGCGCGGGATTTGACGTTTGCGGTCGCTGCTGAGAAATGGAGATGATTCAAGATCATAAAGGGCTGAATTTGGATCTGTTTCTTGCAAACAACGTATGGATTCTAAAGATTTGGATTACATCAGGCTAATACAATTTATGTTTTTTGTGAATTTATGTTGTGTTTTATTGGAGAAAACGCTTTTTGTGTCTCACGGTAAATGAACTAAATACTGCAAAATGGTTAAACGATTAAACAAGGTATTTTTAAGGTTTTAAAGTGTAGGCTATTCTTGTTTATTGTTTACAGAACACTGTAATTTACTGTAAAGGCAAATAGGTCACCACAATGTCAAATAAAAAAAATCTAAAATAAAGAGTAATTCTTTAAAAGTGCTATGCCGTAATATCCCAGAATCTATCAAAGCATAACTATCACATTTATATTTCAGAGTTTAATATCCACTATGTAACCTTGTGTTTTGCATTTACTGTGGTACACAACAATGACCCTAACAATTACACTTTATATTAAGTGGACAGTTCCTGAGGAGTTACCATGTAAGTACACTGTTAGTACAGTTGCACAGGGTTGGGTTTTGCATAATACACAGTAAGTTATGACCATTTTACACTTTATATTAAGTGGACAGTTCCTGAGGAGTTACCATGTAAGTACACTGTTAGTACAGTTACACAGGGTTGGGTTTTGCATAATACACAGTGAGTAATGACCATTTTACACTTTATATTAAGTGGACAGTTCCTGAGGAGTTACCATGTAAGTACACTGTTAGTACAGTTGCACAGAGGTTTGGGTTTTGCATAATACACAGTAAGTAATGACCATTTTACACTTTATATTAAGTGGACAGTTCCTGAGGAGTTACCATGTAAGTACACTGTTAGTACAGTTGCACAGAGGTTTGGGTTTTGCATAATACACAGTAAGTTATGACCATTTTACACTTTATATTAAGTGGACAGTTCCTGAGGAGTTACCATGTAAGTACACTGTTAGTACAGTTGCACAGAGGTTTGGGTTTTGCATAATACACAGAAAGTTATGACCATTTTACACTTTATATTAAGTGGACAGTTCCTGAGGAGTTACCATGTAAGTACACTAGTACAGTTGCACAGAGGTTTGGGTTTTGCATAATACACAGTAAGTTATGACCATTTTACACTTTATATTAAGTGGACAGTTCCTGAGGAGTTATCATGGATGTACACTGGTACCACAAGGGAAAACTTTAGCTGCAATTCAACATAAGTCCTGCCGGTCATATAGTAAATACATGGTATACACATAGGAATCATCATGGTTTCAGTGTGTTCTTAACTGGTAACTACAGTATGGAAGACTGCGTGTGGAAGTGGAACAACTTGTGTGAATACATATTGTTGTTACAAAATGTAGTTACATAATGCCTGTTACACATGTGTACTTACTGTAGTGGAAAAAGTGTTGTTACCAATGTCCTGTTACACATTTGTACTTACACATACCTTTCCGTGGGTTGTTACATATGTGTAGTTACACAAATATTACAGTTGTAAATACTATGTACCAATGTGTATTTACACTGTAGTTACATACTAAGTACATATCTAGGTACCATGTAAGTTCGCAGGTATTAGGGCCACTTAATATAAAGTGGGACCGTTTTTTCTTGTATGAAATATACAACATTTCTAAACTGAATCCTCTGTCCTTTGTGATTCTTTTTTTATTTGAGTTGATATATGTCATTGGTGGTATTTGTGCTATCTGGGTTATTTTAGGGTGACCAAACGTCCTGTTTTACCAGGACATGTCCTGTTTTCACGTCCTGTCCTTCCTGGCTGTTTTTTATAAAGTGATGAAAATGTCCTGGTTTTCATTATTTTTCATTGGGCCATTAAATTGACCGGCACTAGGTCAATCTTCACCTGCGGTGCTGCATGTGACGTAATCCCTGAGAGGCTGCCGTGTGGGTGGCTCTCTTTACACTCAAAACGAGCGAGCAGTCAGCCGTCCGAGCACTTCTGCCTGCAACATGCCGAAGCGCAAATGCACATTTACAAATGAATTACAGAAGAAATTCCCCACTTCCCCACTGACACCGCCAAAAAGTTTAATAATGCCCGCACTAATACCGAAGCCATTGTGAATGGTGTTTTAGCGCCCCACTCTGTTGAAGTCACACGTGAAGCACTGAAAGAAATCCAGTATTGTGGTATTTGTACAGATGGGAGCAGTGCTTTAAGTGGGCCGGTACGCACCGGTACTCAGTACCGCCACTTCCAAATATCGCTCTTGAGTGTACCGCCACCTCTCCGTGCGCCCAGAACGTGCTTTTAGCGTACCGGTACGCTCATTTGCACATCTGTTTTAATCCTTTGGCTGCGCTGCCGCTTTTCAGAGCTCCCTTCACAATGCACGCCTCCTAATTCGTCCCACCGAGAGCAGAGACTACATTACCCATACACCCTTGAGTTTTACAAGTGAAAAGCGCATGCGTCGCTTTTTCCGCTGTCAGCTGCTCGGTTAAAATACAAATAGAGCATCACAGTGCGTGCCGTGTTTAACTGTCTGGTTAAACCCCGCGAAGGGAATACTAACACATCCTCCTCCCCGTCTCCCACCCCCCTCCCTCCCTCTCCCTCTCCCTCTCCCTTTTTTTCTGTACAAATTGAAGGAAAGATGAAAAATGTGTATTTTATTTTTTGATATAACGTTTTAAAATAAAAGTTATTGAAAGTCTCTCTCTCTCTCTCTCCCTCTCTCTCTCTCTCTGCAGGCTGAGCGACTTTTGCGCTGCACTTGAAAAGTTCCAGATGGATCCTCTTTTAATTTATTTTATGTTTGAGCCTATG